TATGCTTATGTAATCACTGTACACACACACAATCAATACATAGAATACTATCATCATTTATTCACTTACATTAATACAGTGAAAAACACACCTGAGCTAAACAACAAACGCTCACTAGCAGCCCAAACACAAAAACAACTAACACAAGCCACATAATGACAAACCAAGACTAGTCCTTAGATAACTACTCAATACTACCAAAGTTTGACCAAGATTCAAACTGATCAAAACTCAACTCTCATAACAACAGGTGCGGCACGCTCATTACAAGACAAAATAGTCGGGATCTAGCTCAAAATCAGACACGTCCATAAAAACCCCAAAGGCATGTCGTGCCCACAAAAAGACACGTCACATCTTACCCTGTCCAGCCCTTACCTTCGACTTAACATTAAGTCCAAGCTTCCAACTAACAGATCTGGATTCAAATGATGTCTCAATGGATAAAGTTTCCAAATTTATCCATTAGAACACTAAAACTAACTAGATATAAAACCCTTGTTTAATAAAAGTCCAAATTTCCATTTTTCTTCATGCAAGGAGTAAAGAGAGCTCATGCATGCTCTCTAAACTCAACCAAAAGGCCAGATATGAAGTCTAATATGCTTTTAAGTTGATGGATTTTTCCAAATTCTACATATCAAATCATTAAAGAGACCAAAATACGAAAATATGGACCAAAACACCATTATCTCGTAAATCCAAAGATGAAATGCAATAAAGCAAGGATCTTTGAAACTTACAAAGGTCCAGAAGTATGGAGAATGCAAGGATCTTCAAGCTTAAAACTTTCAAGTATCACTTTTCTTGATTTCTTCACTTAAACAACTCAAATGAGTACCAAAAGTGGTTCAAGGAAAGAGGATAAGATCATAACACTCAAATGAGACTAGTGTTTCTCTCAATGGACGTTCTAGGGTTAATGGATGTCGAGAGATGAAAAAAACATTGAGTTAATGCTCCTTAAAATAGTCCCAAAACCCTAAAAACACGATTAGCCCACTGGGCTGGAGACGCACCGCGTCCCTAAAGTGGCGTGCCTCGCCCTCTCCGATAAATTCTAGAATTTTAGATTTCCAACAAATGTGATTGATGGCTTCCTGCTTCCCCCCATCATTCTACCTTACTTTGGACTATAAAACCCCCAATCAAAGAATGGAAAAACATCATCGGAATTAGGGTGTTACAGTTAGGTTAACAAGATATAAAATTTAATGTGTAAGAATTGTATTAGATGACCATTTTGTGCACCTATTGATCACCATGACCATTGAAGATTAATCACATGATTAAATATTACATGCTATGAACTAAAGACTGAGAATAAGGAAAGTTAATTTACATGAACCAAGGGAAAAAATTAACATAAAAATAAGTAAACATAAGACGAATATCCATTGCACTTAAGAGAATTTAACCAAAATTGAAGGATGTAATGAAATCTAGGAAATATCCCATTCGATGATTTGTATCTAATCAGTTTTCCATAGTTTGATATAAGTTTATTTACTTTTATTTGAGTATTGTATTTATAATAAAATCCTCCTCTTTGTTTTATGTGTGCTTAGTTTAACTTATAATCAAAATGTTCTAATATTAATTTACCATCGTTTCCCTAGAGTTTGGCAACCCAGTCTTACCTCAACTTTATTATTGTTCGATTAGGTATATTACATAGTGCTACAATAGTCCCACATGTTGGTAGTTCCATTTTGTAAATGTAAAACGAGATTTTCCCACCAAAAGTTTATGACATTTGTTATGGAATAGCTTTTGCACATCAATAACATTCAAGAAAACATAAAAATAATTCAAAAAATGTAAATAAATTTAATAAATGAAATGCAACAAAACATCCAAACCCCAAGTCAACTACAACTCACAATATCCAAAGTCCCTCTCATTTAAGGGAATACTAAGTTAAGGATATAAGGGGTACAAGTTTCTCCTATATTTGTTACTCTTCGTTGAAAGTTAGAAAAAAATGACCACTATTCATCATCCGACGCTGTTTAACAACATGCATCGACTCATCATTGTTCACCCACGTGTCGTTTTCACATTTCACTGTTTATCGACATATTTTATATGTTTCACTACTTACATATCCTACTTTTGGTCCCATTTGTAGGTTGTCGAATTCATATGCTAGTATTTTCGTGTATCCATGCTTATGTCTTACCAAACACTTTGACTTAATGCTACTCCTTTATTTTCCCTATTTGCATGTTATCGGTTATGCCCATGCCCGAGGTTCTATATATGACATAATCATTTTTGGAGACATAAATGCTAACATCTACAATGACGAGTCTAGAACAATAAACCACATGGTTCTGTAACATCTTGTTTCGAATTGTTCCGTTTTTAGGATGGAGATCAAGGACCGAGTATTATCAGGCTTCGGATCCTCGAGGAATTAGGTTTTGGACCCAGTTGGAGTTGGTTAATGTATTTTGATTGATCAGATATTCAGTTTGAGTTTTTGGGTTAAAGGGTATTTCGGTAATTTTTCGGCTCGGGCTTTTATGGAAAGTAGATTTTAGTTCGGGATATCTTATGGCGAGTATGAATTGATAATAGTGTTGAGCGTCTCGATACCTTTCTATGAATATATGGATGGTTGAAATCGAGGTTATATCGAGTGAGTTATAGCCTTCGGAAGAATTAGGGTTTTGGGGGAAAACCCTAGTACGCGGGGTGTACCATGGTGGTATGCAGGGCGTATTGAGGAAAAGGAGTTACATGAGGCGTAGCTGGGAGGTACGCGGGACGTAGAGGGTTGCATGGTCGCGGATGGTTTTTGAGTACGTTGGGCGTACTAAGGGGTACGCGGGGCGTACTCCCTTCAGAGTAAAACCCTAATTTCATGTCTTGTACCCTATTTAAACAACCTTATGTCAACCCTAATCAAGGAAGTGTGAGATTTGAGCTTAAAAGTGTGTTTGGTGGTCTTTCTAAAGGATGTTTAAGAAGAAGAAGGTGGTGTTCAAGTTTGAATCATGGAAGGAGCTTTTGGATCCTGCATCTAGAGCCTCTTGGAGAGCTTTTGAAGGTAAAAAGCTTGCATCTTGCCTATCCGCCTTGTTAGTTGGGTTAGGGTTTTCTACAGTCCATTTGTGAGTCCATAAATCATCTCTTGTGAGTTTGGGCAACTCCAGAGGTTAGGAAGGCTAGATCTGGGACTCTTGGACTTGTTTATTGTATAAAAATGCAATCTTGATGTCTTTTATGGTTTCATGCATGAGTTAAGACCTTTGGAAAAGTCTTAATGAGGAAGAATGAGTTGTTGGGACTTTTCATAGCATGCAAAGGCATAAAGTTGCCAACTTTATGCCTTAGAATCATTTAATCGACCAAGATCTGGAATTTGAGTGTTGAGCCTGCATGCATTAAGCACTTAATAGCTTTTGTGCATGAGATGTTTGTACATTGGGCGTACTACATAGTACGCTGCGCGTACAACCCTTTTGCCCAATACGTTAAGTGTATAGAAGAGGTATGCTGGCAATACGCTCTCAGGAAGACTTGGGCCTTAGCGGACTTCGGACCTTTGGGCCCTAATGGTTTTGGGCCTGGACTTGCTGGTGTTTGGACCTGAAAGTATCTTTGGACCAATGTTGATATGGTTAGGCCTAGTTGGGCCTTGTGGCCTAATATAGAAATGGACTTCGCATTTGTGGGCCTCGGGTTGGGCCATTTTTTTGGACTAAGTTGTTGTAGACCTCCATGGGCCAACTGGAAACAAGTTTATGGACTAAGGAAATTATTGGGCTTTAGGATAAGGTCCATTGGAAAGGCTTGGGCCCAATTTGGAAAATTGGGCCATAAGTGGGCCATATTTGGACTTTGATGATTGTGAGATATTGGACCATCGAAATGCCAAGTGTTTGGACCAGAATAAATGATTGGGCCCTAAGGTAAGACCATGTAGAGGTTTGGGCCCAATTTGGAAAATTGGACCACTGGTTGATTAATTGGGCTTTGGGCCTTTTAGATTATAGTTTGGGCCATAGTTTTGGACAAGGATAGGTTGGGGGTAAATTGGTATTTTTACCTCGGCTATGAAGTTATAGTTATGGATTAGAACCCAATTGCTAATTGGGTGTCTTTTGGTATTGTTAGCTCGGGAAGTTGTCAGGGCAGCAGCTAGGGATTTCTTTCAGAAATCTTTTGCATTTGAGGTGAGTCTCCTCACTATATCCATGGGTCGAAGGCACCAATGCCGGCCCATTATGTGTTATGTGGTATGCTAGTTGCTTATGTGATATGTGGTATGTTAGTTGTCTATGTGATACTTGCATGGAAGACCCCGGGGGGAGCCCGTTGCACTTGGATATCAGACCATGTGGGGGAGCCCATGGCATTCCAGGTAAAGACCATGGGGGAGCCCATGACACTTGGTTATCAGACCATGTGGGGGAGCCCATGCATTCTAGGTCAAGACCATGGGGGAGCCCATGGCAACTCTATGTATGTTCCATGATATTCTGCGGTTGTATGCTATATGGTATTTTGAGGAACTCACTAAGCTTTGTGCTTACGGTTTTCAGTTTATGTTTCAGGTACTCTGGTTTTCAATTTGAAGGGTTCGGGATGATTGCAGAGCACACACCACATGTTTCCATTTTCTGTGAAATACTCTGATTGACAATGTTATGTTAAAAATTAATTTACCCTGGTTTTTATGGGAAAGACATGTACTAACGATTTTGTAACATTCCGTTTGAGATTAAGTAATTAAATAATAAACCCTGAACCCCAATATTTAAATTTATATTTTATATTATTTTATAGTAGCCCTAAAAATCCATAATAATTTAGCAAGACTTTGGTTTTAGGAGATAAGGGCTTGTTTGTTATACCTCTTAGTGGTCCAGTAAGAGGTCATCTCTTACTCGGTCCTGCGTTTGATACCCTCATATTTTGCCTCTTATTCGGTCCTTAATGTCTGATCCAGTCCACACAAAAATAACGTCGACTGGAGACTAGAAATTGATATGCGATTCACCCTTTCCCTTCCCCTTCCCATTGGCGTCGTTCCTTCTCTTGCCCATCTCCTACATCTACGAAAACTGCACTCCCACCTCCATCTACGACGCTCCTCCCTCCTCCCTCCTCCGACTGATGCCTTCTCCACTTCCGTCCAACGCTGCCTCTCTGAGCTCCGACCTCCTTCCGTGTATGTATTATTTTGTTTGTTTTTACCTGTTCTTAGAGGATTAAGTACAAATTTCTCGAGTATGAGTCCAAATTTGTGGGGGCAAGTCAATGAAATTCGAGAGCAGGTGAAAAACTGTAGGGTGGTGGATTTGTGAAGGAAATAAAGGGATTTCTTGAAGAATGTGAAGAGAAGCTTAAGGTTGTGAGGGATGAACAAACCGGGGTTATGGAGCTTTTAATTACCTGAGAGTTTATGAAGCCATGTTCATCACCAATATCAGATGCTTAATTTTGACCAATCTTTGTAAGAGTCCTTTAATGGTTTGAAGTTCTGAAACAGGAAGAGCTATGTTATTGGTACTTTTTCTTGGTTGTCCCCTTTAACTTCACCTAAGAAATTCACGATTCAAAACAAAGAGACCATAAGAGAATCCAATTACCAATACTAGAAGCGAATATTAAAAATTCTCAATTTGATTCATTTAATATATATATTTTGTACTAATTTTTCATTCCAAGTGAGGTTGTGTTATGGTGTTTTGATCTCAACAGGTTCTTTTTCATTAAAAGTTCTTAATGGTTTTGTTAGATAGTAGCCTTTTATTTATTATATGTATGTTGGTTTTTACTTTTGAGGGCTTAAATACTTTATGTAATGCTTTTTGCAGGAATCATAATAAATCATGGCTAGCTATTGTTTTCAAGTTTCTAAATTAACTAATAGAAGAATGAAGTGTTGCTGCCAATAGAACTATCTCTACCGCCCAAGATGCATTATATTTGTAATTGAATTATTAGTTTGCTAGATTGCAGTGTAATTGTATATGTAATAAAACATTGTAAGTGCTATTGGAATTGCTAATTGTTGTCTGTTTACATGTTTGTTCATCTTTTCTTATGTTTATTATTAATTTTTATTTTAGTTTGCTAAATTGCAGTATAATTATCAACTGAACCATTTTATTCGGTACAAAAATAAACAAAAGGGTAAAATGATCATATTTAATATTTAACACATTTAGTCAGAGGCGAAATCAAACAACATGGTTTCAGTCATAAGCATATTCAGTAAGAGTTCAGACCCAGTCAGGGCTCTAACTCAGTCAGATCTAACTCATTAAGCAGCTATCAAACTCCCCCTAAATGTCATACCTTTTGAATATTGGGGGTTAAGTACAATTTCCGGATTGGTATGTAAAGATTTTCAGAAGTCAGGGTGTGTTTGGTAAAATATTGGACTTAAATTCAAAGGATTTTGGAATGTTGAGGGTTGAATGGTAACTTATGGATTTAATTTGAAAGAAAACGAGATGGAGGGGTTGGAAGTGTTAATATGGCTCAAGGTTTGAATGTGGACGGGAGTTTATAACCCGTCACCCTTATTCCCGTAACCCTAACACTAAAACTATAGTCAACAGCCACTTGGAGTACACCAACCACCACCACACCTTTTCTCTCATTTTTCCGACCAACAAAGACAACCGACGACACCTTCTTCTTTACGACAAGAGATACTGAGACCGACGAGGGATCGGTGGACGACCTTCGGGTGCTGCCGGTTTCTCATCTCCAGCCGCCGTTGCGCCACTTCTGTTGAAGGCAGAGCCACAGTTGGTCATGTGGATGTTGTTGTTGTTCCAATCAACCAAGGCCACCGACATACCATTGTTGCCGACGAAGCTGGAAACTCGAAGCTAACCTCGCACGCTGATGTACCGGTGATATCGAAGGTCAACGAAAACCCCCTCTCTGGATGACGTCGCGTTATATCGGAAGCCGGAAAGGCGGAGCCGTCATCGTGGTTGCTGTTGCCGTCACTCTCGATCGCAATCTATTTTCCGTTTCATCGGTGCTACACCCAGCCGCGCCTGTCGCCACTACAGCTCCGAGGGGCCATTTTCTGTTATGCTCTGGTTGTCGTCGTTCGTGTCGCTGTCGTCGCCGTACGTCACCAGGTAGGTGGTTGTGTTCATACCTCGATCAAGGATGCGTGTGTGTGCTGGTGTGTGTGTTGCGTGATCGGGAATCAAAAGAGAACCACCACCACCACCACCGTGAGGTGGTGGCTATTATCTCTGACCACCGCCTACCGCCACAAGGTTGGTTATGCGTTTGTGTGTTATATTGTGTGTGCATTTCTTTTGGATAATATGTTGTATGTACATTTTTTAGCCGAAAATCCGAAGAAACCCACCACCACCACCGTGAGGTGGTGGCTGCCACCTTCTGCCACCACCAGTCGCCGTGATGGGTGGCGGTGTGCATTTATGTGTGATTGGATTGCTATTTGAGATGCTTGGACATGTTTTGGTCTAGAATCATAACCACCACCACCACGAGGTGGTGGCCGCCGCTGTGAGCCGCCGTTGACCACCACTACCCGAGGTGGTAGTGGGTGGTGTCCGACCTAATGAAACCCTAATTGACCTAAAAACCTAACCATTGGACTAATTGTCTTGTGATTGGGTTGGAAACCCTAATTAGGGTTTAGAAAACCCTAATTTTGAAGATGTTAGTTCTGGATTTGTTGGGACCCGCGTTTTGGACCAGTGGATTGAAGTTATGATTTATGCCCGATTACATTATATGATTGGTATAGTGGATGATGGACTAAAATGGATTAAGTCCTTAATTGGTTAAGTAAGAACACTTAACCCTAATCGTCATTTTATGTGAAAACACTAATTATGTTTGGGCTTCAAGTTGGGTCTTCTTTTGGGCTTTGGTGATTGACTTATTGATGGGCCAAATGGAACCATGTTTATGGACTAAATAAATTATTGCGCTTTAGGATAAGGCCCATTGGAAAGGCTTGGGCCCAATTTGGAAAATTGGTCCATAAGTGGGCCATAATTGGGCCTTGATGATTAAGAGATATTGGACCATCGGAATGCAAGGTGTTTGGACTAGAATAAAGGGTTGGGCCTTAAGGTAAGACCATGTAGAGGTTTGGGCCCAATTTGGAAAATTGGGTCATATGTTGGGCCTTGGTTGATTATTTGGCTTTTGGGCCTTCAGAGTGTGAGTTTGGGCCTTGGTTTTGAACCAAGCTAGGTCAGGGGTAAAATGGTCCTTTTACCCCAAGTGTGGATTTATGGTTATGCATTGAAACCCAAATGGTTAATTTGGTGTTGTTTTTGATATGGACAGTTCGGGAGCCTATCATCCAGCAACTAGAGTTTTATCCGCGGGACTTCGGCAGTGTGAGGTGAGTCTCCTCGCCATACCAATGGGTCGAAGGCACCAAGGCTAGCCCATTTATCTAGTTGTGATGATTATTGCGGATGTGCTATCGATACATTATGTATTTATGTGAAGACCATGCGGGGGTTCCCATGGTAATTAGTTATATGTGGTATGCTAGTTGATTATGTGTTATGTGGTATGCTAGTTGTCTTTGTGATACTTGCATGGAAGACCTCAGGGGGTTCCCGAGGCAATTGGATATCAGACCATGTGGGGGTTCCCATGGCATTCCAGTGGGCTAAGACCATGTGAGGGTTCCTATTGGGTTTTATGTACTCTAACATCCCTATGGTGCACATACAATCCCAATGCTTTGGAACTAAGTTTTCTCTAATTATACTTGCAATATTCATTTTCCAAAGCATGAAACCTAACTAGCATGCAAAGGTGATATTTGAATCATAAAAACTAGTTAGAAGATTACCTCTTATTTGTAGCTTGTAGTTATTGGCCTTTCAAGAGCTTAGCACCTCAAGTGTGATGCCTCAAACGGTTCACAAGACACCATGAACAAAGGATGAATATGATAGAAAAGTTATGAAGCTCAAATCGGCTAGGCTTACACCTTAGGAGGCTTGAGAGTGATTTTGCCTAGGGTTTCAACTTGTAAACCCTAATTCACGTGGCCCTTTAATCCATCAACTCATTAGCCTTGTGGACTAACACTTCATGGACTCTCACATAAACTTAGTCCATCACTAATCAATCATGGATCATTGGTCCAAACTATATGTATCACTGATTTACATAATCAGTCCCCGTTAATTTAATTAGTCTCTTTTGATCACTAATTTAATTCCAAATTAATTCTTGATCAATACTAATTAAATAATATGATTTCTCAATTAATATATTATACTTGTAATATATTAATAAATCACAAATAACTTCTTTCTCAAATATCCATCATATCAAATTGTTCTAGTGAATGCAACCCGAAATGGACCATGCTAATATTGGGTCAAGTACATACCAATTATAGTTATGGGCTTAGACACCTAATCCAACAGTCTCCCACTTGGATAAGTCTAATAACTATTATTGCAAGTACGACTCCAAAACTCGATTAGCAATTGTAGCTCTCAAAAGCCGCTATCAACTTTGATCAATAATGCGTCCATTAGATAAGGGATCATATATTCCTTCATTCTAGATATCGTATGGACATGATACATGGATTATAATCATTCTCTCTGTCCATGAGTTGTTTCCCGATTTCCGATTTATGACGACCGACTAACTGAACAAATCAAATCAGTCCAGGCTTGGCCAAGCACTTAGGGTGTCATCACTAAATCATCGAGGAGCCCACAGGTATCGCTTTTATCCCTCTTAGGGTAAAAGGAACGGATAAACTTCGACTCACATGCTTGCTCTAATTACTCATCAAATCACACACACCAATATGTTTTATAACACCAAGTTACTGGTGTGTTTACATATCATCAATGTGCAACCGACTTGTAAGCTGCAACTATATGTCTCCATTTCAAGAATATAAGATATTATCGTCTCACTAATCACTCGTGATAAAATCCATTAAGTGATTCAGATGAGCATGAGTTTAATCTAATACTCAAATCTTATTACAGGAGTACTCATGAATACTGTAGCAAACTTGTGCTATGTCTAAACACTGTAGACAATCTACAGACGGATTAATGACAGGCTTACCTCAATACCTACTTCCAAAGTATGATCGACTCTGGATAGTTTGAATAATTTTATTATTCGGGAAGTCAAAACATGCAAAGTGAAACACAAGAATAATCGAATTCAATATGGTCTCAAAACTCTTGAATATAAATAAAACACATTTTATTTAATCACCATATTGATTACACATTATTCATTGTATAATGTTTCGATTAATCAACTTAATATTTGAATTAAAACAATAGTTATCCCATGCTCCAAGCATGCACACTATGTTTGCCTATGGTCCTTTCTTTGTGAAATAAACACAAACTCATTTCACAATTCCAAATCTTTATCATAAGTGTAAGATTCTAAACTATCATGCAATGATTCATTTTGTAATGTCATGGTACCAAAATCATGTGGGGGTTCCCATGGCAGTGGGCTAAGACCATGTGGGGGGTTTCCATGGCACCCCGGTGTAAGACCTTGGAGGGTTTCCATGACATCCTTATATGTTTATATGCATGGCTTATGTGATTATGTGATTATGTGGGGTATGCTCTGGGGAACTCACTAAGCTTCGTGCTTATAGTTTTGTTTATGGTTTCAGGTATCATCGGTTTGGAAAGGTAGGGCCCGACTTCATCGCAGTGCACACACCCGTGTTTTCCGCATTATGTGATTTTGGGATGTAACTCTGATAAATGTTTTAAATTAAGCAATGTTTTTGAATGGTTGGATTAAGTAACATTTGTGTTTGACTATAATGAAAAATGAAATTTTTACCTTGGATTTTTGGGTCGTTACAGATTTATTAATCTAAAAATAAAAAATTTTAAGTCATGATTTTGGGGCGTTACAGGTTTCCTGAACAATAAACCACATAGTTTCCTAACCGAGTTCAATCGGTCCGGTTCACGATAACCTGAGTTTAACCAGAATAATAAATGATTCACCATATATACAAATTGGCGGTGAAAAGGACCGAGACCAA